GAAGTACGTTCAAATAGTTTACAGGTTTTTGTTATAAAATTTGCTCTTGTTTATCTGTTTATCTTACTGTTACTTTCCATGAGATGTGAGATAAATGTGACTCTTGGAGTGTTTTTAATAGGGGCTGTGAAAAAGTTGGATGCATCTAAATGATTGTGGTCTCTGTGCATCTTACTGATAAAGTTAGGTACAGTAAGTTTATAGGGAACAAATTTATAAAACGGGAAACCAGCTTACAGGTCTTGAACAAGCCTTAGAAAACAAGCACAGAACAAAAACAACGGCACAGATCAAAAACACAAAAAAATAACAAGTTGAACTTTATTTTCACAGCAAAGCCCAATAGTTGTGAATCCACAAGGAAAAAAATTACTTAAATGCTCCTATGCAGAGCTGCTGAGTGTCATCATGTTCTGGTCAGCGAAGCATGAGAGGAAAAAGGCGCCGTAGATTGGATCATTTTCCGACAACTAGGTACGGACAGTATATGGTACTAGAGTATGCCTGTGTTTTCAAAAAGGATTTAAAAAATATCCCTTATCCATCCATTGTGTTCTACTTATCCAAAACCAGTAATGCAGTAATGTATGATTGATTTTTCTATAATAATGAAGTTTCATAACTGAAGTAGAAAGAAAATGATTTAAATGTGTGGGCAAAAGCTGTGGTGTTAAAACTCAAAGCTGTCCTACTGTCAGAATTTCAATGCCGAACAGATTCCTGACTCACACGTCTGGGCTGGGTTCAGTTTTTAATTCAGAATTACCCGTTTTAAATCCAGTCTGATCTGTCTTTAATTCAAAAGCTCAGTTTATTTTGTCTGTCTGGATGTCAGAAAGGCTTTTAGGATCTGGAAGTAGAAAAATGCTTCATGGATTTTCTTGAAAAGGGGCAAAGAGGGCGTCACTATGAAACTTTGGGTATCAGTCGAACCTCAGTGCCTATAAATTTCACACAAAAACACAGTATTTATTCTAGGTAGCCCTCTTTTAATGCTTCTTTGTATATAGGTGTCAACATGATGCACCTGTAGGTTAAATTTCTAGTCCTCTCTGTTTTGTTGGGCCCGATTGACAAGCAACCAGCAGATCACAGAACAGCTCTGCACTGGTCTCAAGCGAGGTTTTCTTTATCTCTCTGTGAGCTTAATGTCTCTCAAATATATATCATTTCCACTTTAAACACAGCCTCCTGTCTGCTTTGGAGATCACCCAATCTCAAAAATGTTTTTTTTATTATTATTATTATTTTGGTTTAATCTGATTATCTATGGGTGGACAAAAAAAGTTTACAACAGTCAAAATGTCAGGAATATTACCACTGCACAGTGGTCACTTTAGATTTAATAACTTGAAGCGGCAGTTTTTTAACGTGTTTTTTTTTTTTTTTTTGTGCGTGTCGCTGTGTTTGTATTTTAATTACTTGACCTAAGGTTGTCTTTTGCTTCAGCTTCATGGTCGTATAATTGAACTGTATCACAAAATTTGCAGTTAAAAGCTTAAAAAGGTTCTAAAAACGGTCAAAGATGGTGGCAGTTCTTTCCACATGTGATGAGAGCATTCTGACCAATACGGTACTGGCACTTCTGAGTGTCTGCTAACATTATTCTACATTTTTTTACATTTTGTTTTCACATGCTTTGTATATTATGGGGTTTTTATGATAGACCAACATAAAATAGTTCATGATTTTGAAGCAGAAGGAGAATTACACATTGTATTCAGCATTCTTAGCAAATGCAAACCAGAAAAGTACAGGTTGCATTTATGAACCAGGCCTCTAAGGCTTTACTGCATAAAAAAAAAAAAAAATTTTTTTTTTTTTTTTTGCAATTATAGAAACAGCTGTATTTGGATTTTCATTTGTTGAAAGAAAATAAAGACAAAATTATTTTTCTTCTACTAACTTCAGAATTATGTGCTACTTCTGTTGGTCCTCATAACAACCTGAGAAGAAATAAAGTTTATAGGTGTAAATGCCTGAATACTTTTGCGATGCGCAAAAGATTTGAGCCGTTTTTGTTGTCAATTTATCTACCAGGAATCTTGATTTGTCTCTTTGCCATTTTGAATTAAATGTCAGCCATATTTGTTCTTACAGGTACCTGAGTGAGCCTATGGTGTGTGTGTGTGTGTGTGTGTGTTTGAGTGTGAGTGAAAGACGGGGACGGAGGCTTCAGTATGTAGCTCTTCACACTAAAAAGAAACTCTATGACAAAGCACGGTGCAACATGGACGCTCATGCCTCTTCGGGACTGACTGGTGGTGAAAACTGTTGGTACTGTGGATGAAACAGAGAGAACAAAAAAAAAATATTATATATAGATATATGATTCTATATTGTGCAGAATATTTATAGGCCTTTTGTGCCATTTGAAGTCATGCTCTGGGCTGGCACCGTCCAGCGCTTTCTACCATGTGATCATTATACATCGTCTTGTACTGATGACCCGTGGTTGATATGATTGTTTTTTCATGTCAAGTGCATTTTCCGCAATAAATGCCTTTGTTTTCAAATTTAACTCCTCTTGTGTTTGTGTTTTGCTCTCCTAACCGCCGGCAGCTTTTAAAAGGACGGTGCAAATGCAATATGATTTAAAGCAAAGCACATTTGTGTGCTCTGATATAAAACAAACACATTACCTGTTTTGCCGCGCTTGGGTTTCCCTCAGAGGATTCATCCTGAGAATCATATCCTGCCCTAATTAGAATCATCCCTGCTTACAATGAGCTTGTTATGAGAGACGCTGCAGGGATAGTTGTTTCACAGAGTGATATTGTCCTCATCAGAGCAGACATGCTAGAGATGGATGTCTGTTTTCACCCCCCTCCCTACGATCTTCTCTCATCCTTATCCTCCTCCCATCTTATCAGTCTTCCTTTTTCTCCAACCAAACACTGGCATGAATGAGGTGTGTAATTTGTAATATCAGAGCATCTCCTGCAGCCCCCCCACCCCACCAAAATCCATCTCATGACATGACAACCTTATCTATCCAAAAGTCAAGGCCGTCTTTGATCATTACCTTCATTTGCATTTAGAGTGACCGGCAAAACTGTTGCCAGGAAGTGTGTGTTGGAATGTGCACAACACAGAATTAAGAAAAACTCAACTTTAATGCTTAAAGGTTACATTAAGGATGAGCAAGCGGCTATGTTAGGTTTTTTTTACAGGGCTTAGATAGTGTTTCACCTCCTGCAGGTAATAAATTGTTTTCCTACCCTTAAACAAGCATTTGTTGTGTTTTGGATCAGAGAAAAGCTTCTCCTCTGGGTGTCCTCCTCCCTGCCTAACAATAATAGCAGGGCTGCTGCAGGCTCCTGCAGGGAATCAATCAGCAATCCTCAGCTTTGCGCCAGACCCGTCTGTCCACCTGTCTGTGCATCGGCATTTAAGTCACTTGAAGGGCAATGGAGCTGGAGGGGTGAGACACTGCAGGGTACAAACCTACCACACAGAACAAGATAATCTTTCTGTTACTGTGTGTCCTCGAGAAAAGAAAAATAAAAAAAGCAAGAAGATGAGAGCCTCTGCAGCTCTTTGGAGCAAAAGGAAAACCAAGAAACCTTCTAACACATGCTGGAAATACCAGAAAGGAAATACATTGTTTGGAGATAAATACCATGTAACTTAATTTGTTTGCAGTTAGGATTTTATTACATTTAAAAAAAAAATTACTTTGCATCATAGTTTCACTCTAATTTAGATTTTTTTTTAGCCTTTGTTAAAGGTTTTGGGTATAGATTGTACCCTTAAAAAACGCATTCACAGTTGTCGAGTTTTACCATGTTTGGACAGAAGACAGCTGATCTTAGTTTCTAATGTAGGAGTAGATAAGTTTCATTTTCATGGCTGATAAAAATATTTGTTATTTCAAATAAAAATCTCCAAGCAGGTTAATCCAATAACAGTGGTTCTGTTACTTTTTCTACAGAACACCTAAAATATCTTTAGATTTCAATGTTTTGGCTTCCATAACTCAGTCAGGTTTTAATTTCTTAAATGCATACCATAACTGATAAACTAGCTCACTCTGTTACTACTAACGATGTCTTCATCATATGCTTGAATTGAGTCGCACTTTGACTCCTACCAGAGGAAAAGTTTGGAATAAAAGCTTTTTTTTTTTTTTAAGTAATGCATGTCATCCATTTTCCGTCACGCTTGTCCCAGCTGGGGTTGCGATGGGTGCTGGTGACCATCTCCAGCTGTGAATGGCAGAGGCATAGCTAGAACATTTTAATAAGGGTGGCCAAAAGCAGATAGGCGCCAGAACCTCAGGGTCCATTTACACCGTTCCAACAGGAAAACGTACAAGCAAAACATCCATATTTTCTAAATAAAGACTAACTATACTTTCCTACAGCCTTTTCTAACAAATAGATGCATATATTTAAACATCCATGCTGTCTTAATTTAAGTTGTAGTGGAGAAAATTCTTTCAGGTTCGAGTTCTGGGGCGAACAACTTATTCATTGTCATTACCAACATACTTTCATCAATAATTGTTCTGCATAAGATTATTTACATGTACTAATATCTACATTAAATGGATTATTATTAAAATGGTTATTTATATTTCACTGAAGACTCAGAGATCACTTGCAGAGACATAATTTTCTCTTTAACCCATATAAGACAAAATCTAGTTCTGAACAGAGCATGAATTTCATTATTTATCATCTTTAATGATTGTATTTTAATGAGCGTAATTAATTATGGGGTTTTGGTTTTCAAGTAATTGTTAATATATGTAGAATTAAGATATTAAATAAGTTACAATATTCCACTTGAGAGTATTATTCATGCCAATGTCTGTATTAGAGGGAAAAAATGGTAGGGCTGGCCAATGATTGGCTAAAGGCCCCCATCTAGCTCCGCCCCTGGTCAATGGTCAAGTGGCGGGGTGCATCCTACACAGGTTGCCAGTCTATTGCAGGGCGCGTGTCTTTCGTCGTTTTTAATTATGAAATTCAAGCAGCAGACCAACACAATGTGTTGAGACAAAAATACAAGGATTTATTTAAAAAGAACAAAACCAAATAATACTGTTTATTCCTTATAAACAAATGTAGTAAAACTAGAGTATTTGTGGCAGTGTGTGGGTAGTGTATTTATAAGTGTCATACACTTAAGGCACTAAGATGTCAGAATAAAAAGTCTTAAAGTTTAGTTAAACCATACTTTGTTGGAAACCAGCACCAAAGTGTTTTAGCTCTACAGTAAAATGAAAATCAAATTTTGAACGAAAAAGAAAAAAAAAAAATCCTTCTGTTACTTTTGCTCCCTCAACATTGATAATATAATGCATAGTTTTCCCATGATTTGCAGCAAAGATTCATCATTTGTGGCAGTAAAAATAAAAAGGGAGTGAGAGAAACATTTTTATAAATAGGTCCTGTAACATCTTCCATTTCCAAAACAAATAAACTAACACTAGTTTCAGAAATCCTATCTATAAATGCACAGTTCCCTTTGGAAACAATTACAGAAGGAACAACAAAAAAAATAAAGGTTTGCATATAAAACAAACTGCAATAAGAAAACAAAAGAAAGCATATAATGCCCTTAGAATAATTTTCAAACTTGAAAGCGCTATGATGACTTAAAGAAAAGGTAAAGAAGGCAGTTTGAACCCTTTTTAAACACATTTCAAAGACGAGGGGGAAAACAAGCTGGTGAATTTCAAACCACCCTGAGACCGAATTCAGCGTTTAAATGATTCTACAAAACTTACCTTAAAGTCTTGTATAAAAAGGCTAACTTACAAAAATGATATGGTTGTATTGTAGTGGATTGGCAACACATTAGAACAAGCAAAAACAGGTCTGAAAAAGGACAGTAACATGAAGAAGCAGTCGGCTAACATAATCAAAGATGTCACCAAAGGTGGAGTTTTGTACCTGTCTATGTAATGTGATTTGTAAACATTTAAATTTTTAGTATGGCGAAAGTAAAAAAGTCATAAAAGAGGATAAATACAAATAAAATAACAAGAAACACAAAATCCCTCGGAAAATCTTACAAAAGAGATTAAAAAGACATCAGAGGATAGTGTAGACAAGTTTTTGGAAGCAGTATTAAACTTTGGCAACCCAAATGTGCTGGTTTTTCTTTTTTTTTTCAAGGTAGTGTTGTGGACTGGCTGGAAGGAATGGCAAAGGGCCACTGGTTACACTGGTCATAATGAGGTGCACTTCCGATCTTCAAAGTCTTCACATGAAAGCTGAACTAAGAGAGAATGGAAAAGGACGGGTTAACATAAAAACAGCAGAGGTTCCTTTTAATTATCCAACTAAACAGACTACATGCGACATTATCACCTACTTCTTACGGTCCTTGTCTTTCTTGCCGTTGACCGCGAGGCTCTGGCCCTGCAGCAGCTGAGCTGCAGTTTTTCTCTTACTGAAAGAACTCAGGTCTTCGTCCAAAAGGCGCCTCTTCTCCTCCAGAGCTGCTTTCTCATCGGCATGCAGACGCTTCAGCTGCTCAAAACGACTCTGCAGCTAAAATAGAAGAAAAACTAAAGTTTTAGAAAACAAGTAATATGGAAATGGCTTTTCTTTCCTTCATGCAGAGAGCATAAAATGCCAATTCAGCAGTTATACATTGTCAGCCACTTTATTTAGATGGTTTCCTTGTCTATGGAGTAGTATACAGGTGCTGGTCATAAAATTAGAATATCATGAAAAAGTAGATTGATTTCAGTAATTCCATTTAAAAAGTGAAACTTGTATATTATATTCATACATTACATACAAACTCATATATTTCAGATGTTTATTTTGTTTAATTTTGATGATTACAAATGACAACAAATGAAAATCTCAAATTCATCATATCAGAAAATTAGAATATTGTGAAAAGGTTCAAAATTGATGGCCCCTGGTGCCACACTCTAATCAGCTAATTAACTCAAACCACCTGCAAAAGCCTTTAAATGGTCTTTCAGTCTAGTTCTATAGGCTACACAATCATGGGGAAGACTGCTGACTTGACAGTTGTCCAAAAGACGACCATCGACACCTTGCACAAGGAGGGCAAGACACAAAAGGTCATCGCTAAAGAGGCTGGCTGTTCACAGAGCTCAGTGTCCAAGCACATTAATAGAGAGGCGAAGGGAAGGAAAAGATGTGGTCGAAAAAAGTGTACAAGCTAGAGAGATAACCGCACCCTGGAGAGGATTGTGAAACAAAACCCATTCAAAAATGTGGGGGAGATTCACAAAGAGTGGACTGCAGCTGGAGTGAGTGCTTCAAGAACCACCACACACAGACGTATGAAAGACATGGGTTTCTGCTGTCGCATTCCTTGTGTCAAGCCACTCTTGAACCACAGACAGCGTCAGAAGCGTCTAAAGAGAAACAGGACTGGACTGCTGGTGAGTGGTCCAAAGTCATGTTCTCTGATGAAAGTAAATTTTGCATTTCCTTTGGAAATCAAGGTCCCAGAGTCTGGAGGAAAAGAAGAGAGGCACTTCATCCACGTTGCTTGAAGTCCAGTGTAAAGTTTCCACAGTCAGTGAGGGTTTGGGGTGCCATGTCATCTGCTGGTGTTGGTCCATTGTGTTTTCTGAGGTCCAGGGTCAACGCAGCCACATACCAGGAAGTTTTAGAGCACTTCATGCTTCCTGCAGCTGACCAACTTTTTGGAGATGCAGATTTCATTTTCCAACAGGACTTGGCACCTGCACACAGTGCCAAAGCTACCAGTACCTGGTTGAAGGACTGTGGTATCCCTGTTCTTAATTGGCCAGCAAACTCTCCTGACCTTAACCCCATAGAAAATCTATGGGGTATTGTGAAGAAGAAGATGCAATACACCAGACCCAACAATTCAGAAGAGCTAAAAGCCACTATTAGAGCAACCTGGGCTATCATAACACCTGAGCAGTGCCACAGACTGATCGACTCCATGCCACGCCGCATTGCTGCAGTAATACAGGCCAAAGGAGGCCCAACTAAATACTGAGTGCTGTACATGCTCATACTTTTCATGTTCATACTTTTCAGTTGGCCAACATTTCTATAAATCCTTTGTTTTTATTGGTCTTCAGTAATATTCTAATTTTCTGATATGATGAATTTGAGATTTTCATTTGTTGTCATTTGTAATCATCAAAATTAAACAAAATAAACATCTGAAATATATGAGTTTGTATGTAATGTATGAATATAATATACAAGTTTCACTTTTTAAATGGAATTACTGAAATCAATCTACTTTTTCATGATATTCTAATTTTATGACCAGCACCTGTACATACATACTGTCGGTTAGAAAATACAGCAACCCACCTCTCTTTCAGCCTCCTTCAGCTCTGCTTCCTTCTCCTTCACCCTCTGAACAAAAACCTGCCGCATTTCATCCTCTCTCTTCTGCAGCTCAGCCAGGAACTCCTGACGCTTGGCCTCATACGTCTGCTGCAAACTGTGGATACAAAATGCGTCAAGGAAGTTGGCAACGTCCGCCAGGTGCTGGGGTGTTCGTGTGTGTCAGAGCATGTGAAATATGGTGGAGCGCAGAGCAGTTTTCAATTCAAAGGCTGGAGCGAGGATTTTGCTCCGCCCCAGTTCGCTCCGATGCGCTCATAACATCAATTAAAATTGTTGGATTGTAAAATTTGTAAAACAACATTTATTTGATTGAGGTGTGATTTTGTTCAACAATAATTAAATAGGCAACACGGGGCAACATGAAGGGAGCGAGGTGTTAAATAAGGCAATACACATGTATCGTCACATCATTAAATCAAACGCCGTTTGTCCGGGGCCCTGGCATCATTACATGGAGGAATAAAATCAGAAAATGCCTTCTCCTGAAATTTGAGCGAGCTTGGAGCGATTTTGCCGGAGTGGCAGGAAGATTAAGGTGAGCGCGGAGCGGATTTTGAGCGGAGCGTTCTGGGACAACTTTGAGTGGCAGAGCGAATGAGCGAACATCCTCCTGAGCGGGGAGCGGGAATTGTGCGGCGCTCCGCTCCGTTCACATGCTCTGGTTTGTGTGTGTGGATTGTTTACCTGACAGGTTTGCACTCGGGGTCGGTGTCCTTAAAGCCCATCTCCTCCAACTTGCAGCGCCGGTAAAGTTCGTAATGGCGTGTGTGGGTTTGCTCTCTCAGGTCCTCCATGTTTACACAAATGAGCATCTCCCTCAGCTTCACGAAGTCGCAGTGCTGCTCGTTTTCCACTAGGAGATCATTTGTGAACAATCAGGTTGTTTCAGCTGCCTTAATACAGTAGAATCACCACAGCTTAGTGTTACGGTAAATCCAAACAGTCTACCTTGAACAACTCCCCACGGATACTGGCGAGCTTTCACCATCTTATTGCCAACACACACCTCCTCTGTGCTGCCTACGACAGCAAACGGGAGATGGCCCTAAAAATGTAGAGAAATTACTTAGTTATGGCAAATAAAAGTAAATTATTCCAAAGTTTTACAGCATAACAGATGAGGTCATTTAAAAACTATAAAACTTGTTTATTTCTAATCTATTAATTGTTCAAAATATGAAAGCACAGAATGGGTCTTTAATTACATTAAAGCTTCAAAAAGGAACTTTTTTATGCTAAAGCAAAAGTTGCGTGTTATTTATCAGGTATTCTGTATTTATCAGCTTTAAACCTCCTGAGTCTTTAATAGAAACCTATGAATCCTGGTCAATATTCCTTACATTCATGGTGGTGTTGACTTTGGCCACGGTTTCGTCGTCCAGAGGAAACTGGTAGATCTGCACACCGTTGCTGACCAGTTCGCTCATGATTTTGATCTTGAATTTGTGCAGCTCGCTCTTACTGATGGTGTCGGCCTTGGCAATAACTGGAATTATGTTCACCTGAGAGAGGAGGGGGGAGAGTCACTGCTGATTAAAAGACAACATAATAATAAGAAATCGCTCCATGGAGTCAGAAAACGAAATCAAAGCAACACATCAGTGCTAGCAGAGTCCACAATGCTGATTGGTGAGGCGTTAAAATCAAGGAGTCGTTGCTAATCAAAGAGGAACGATCAAACAATTAAACAACCAGTGTTAAAACTACCGCATTTATTGAGCACTATTAAACTGTAATCTGCTAAATTAAATATTTTCTCATATCTAATTTTCTTCTGCTTAAAAACCCTGTTAGATCCAGAAGTGATCACACCTCATAGAAAGTAATCTTTCTGTTACCAACAGCAAATATAAATAAAACATGAAAAAAAAAAACCTGATTTGAATTTGTTTAAAAGGAGTCTGGGCCTGCAACTACAAATTATTTACTAATTAATTATTCTGTGGGCATTTTTATAAAGATCTGTTAATAATCAGTTAGTTTACATATAGTGTTTTAAGTCCCCATGTTTGAATCCCAGTTGAAACGGGAACATTTTTGCTTGTTCTAATGAGTAAATCATAATGACTGTGAGGTGGTGACCCTTGAATAACGAAGCAGCTGAAAGGACACAAACTACAAAACACATTTACAAACTTAGGTTCTTATTTTAAATGTGTGAAATGCTTAGGGCTGCAGCTAAATATTATTTTGCTAATCAGTTAACCTGTTGATTATTTTTTCGATTAATCAATTAACAATGGGACAGAAAAACATTCCTTCAGGAAGATTTTTTACAGAATTAAAGCAGGTGAAGCTAAAATTTTCCACTTGAGTTCTAGATGGAGCATATCGACAAAGATTAAAAAAAATTGTATCTAAATTTTGGTATAATTACTGCTCTAAGTGGGTTCCTCTGTGAGCTAAAGACATGTTTTAGAGGCTATATACTCTAATTAATTAATTAGATGATTAATTCAATAATTGATTAAATAGGATTATTATGATTTTTTCCACTCTAGAAATGTTTATATATATTTTATACCATTCTGGCTTCATTACATCTTTCAGCTAATATCCTTTCTTGGAGTCTATTCACTCCAGTGGACAACAATTCAGCTACTAAATTGGTTGACAATTGATTCAGTTATTGATTCATTTAGTTTATAGTCTCAGCCCCAAAGGAGATCCCCTTAACGATAATATAAGAGGCTTAATTTACCTATAATTTAACTTTAACTATAAGAGGCTTAATTTAACTTCTTTGATTTAAACAACCTGAACCTTCTTTCTGAAACTAAAACTGTTTTCAGATGTTTGTTATATAAACCATCTTTCCTGTGTTGTTTCAGGCCTACCAGTTCAATCTGGTGCCAAAGTCATCCCACATTCCTCCCTGTCATCTCACCGTCCCACAGAGGAGCATTGGAATGAGCTGCTGCCACTGGGTCAGACCACACAAACACACACACACACACACACACACACACACACACCAACACACACACACTGATCGTGGTGGCGAAACTAAACGATGCAGGGAGATCTATTCCAACAGCTGCCTGAGCGACTGACTGTCCGTCACTACGGTGGACCCAACAATTGGCTCTGTGTGTATCCGTACAGTGACACAAAAGGACAACTTGAGTGTGTGTGTGAGGTGGTTACAGCACCCCCACCCCCCTTCTAATCCTTTCATACGCAAATCCAGAGTTATTGCCACTGCAGAGCAACAAAACCACACAGAAACACACTCAAACAGGACAACACACAGAGAGAGCATGGGAAAGTTTCTGACCACTTCAAGACGGGTGAGGTGGGGTGGGGGGGGCTGATAGAGATGCTCTCCAAACATTCACACCATAAAACCACCACAGCATAGTTTTATTATGCTCTCATTGGTTCCCCTTTTCTCCAAGACCCGTTGGTTTGATGCAGTTTTATTTATCTGAAAATTTGTTTATTCACTAGAAATCTTAACATTTCACTTTTGATCAAAAACAAAAATGAGGTTCCTCTTGGATGCATGTTTCCAACTTCTTTAAACATGGAGAATGTTTGATAAACGTCTGAGGATTAATTAAAGCCTATTCAAGCAGCACTGTCCGCTAAAGTCTGATCAATTTTTATACCTTACATGTCTTTATCTTTTTTTCTATAAAACATGTCTGGCTAAGTGGATAGCTTTATTAACATTCCGAAAGAGTCAGCGTAGGACGTTAAAGGGCAGATTATACTTCTGTAACCGCACACATCAAATGTCGCTTGAATCTGGTCGTGAACCAGTTTTGCTGGTATGCTTCTGCACCGTCGGTCTGGAATTTCTAGGGATGCACAGCAGTTTCCTGCTAAACACAAGGGGGAGCCTATTTGGGAAGTCGCGAAAACTTTGGCGGATGGTCATGAGAACATTGGCGGTGCTGGCGGGAGTGTTTATCTTTCAAAAAAACAATAGCGCATCTGCAAGATATCAAGGTCACGGAGATGGATCTAGAGTTGCTAGACATCGAAGAGGAACAGGTTCTGTTGATGGAGATGGTAAAAAGACAAAGGAGGATGCGTAGGTTGTCCATTGTAGTTGTTCCTCGGTTTTTAAAAATGGCGCACCCCAGCACTGAATCGAGAAGGACGACCACACAGACAGCCGGAACGGCATACCAAGTACCAACCACAGCTGCTTTTTGTCTGCATACTTCCGCTTGAGGTCTGTGCGAGTTTGCAACCGTCCGACACATAGTCAGGATTTTTTTGAGGTGCGCAACGCTGGTTGCAGATCCTCTGCACAGGAGGAGTGGTCGAGCACAGAGACAGATTTGACGGCTGCAGAGGCTATGCATCAGAAGCATAAATTGGCCTTAGGAGACAAAAACCATGAAGCTGCATTTACCTGCAGCTTCAATGTGAATTGTCCGGTCTGCTCCAAGTGTTCTGGAGCAGAAACCATGAATCTCTGAGTGACAGCGGAGATGTTGCTCTTCTCTTTTCAAACAGAGTTTAATGTCGATCCAAAGGCTAAATAATCAGTGGGTTATTTCTTTCCATCTCAGCACCACCAAGTTTGTGGAAGTTCTGCATAAACACAAAGGCTGGAAGGATTCCAGGATTTCCACGTTTCTGATTCCAAATGTTATATTTTTAAACCCTAAGATTTGGGATGATTACTTTTCTGATTTTTATGGGAAAATTGTATAAAAAGTCTGAAACATTAGAAGAATAACATTTTTTTACAGTTATTTAAATGACAGATTATCTTCTTTAGAAAGCAGGAGAGAACATTTAATCCTGCAACACAACAACAAACACTTTTCCTCTTCTATCCAAACTACTATATATGACTTCTAAGCGCTTTTGGTGAGTCCCATACTCTAGAGATTCATGTAAAAATAAAGAACCCTGAATAATTGAACTGAAATCATCAGAATGTGTTCATAGTGAAGCCTAACAGCTTGCTTAACTTTCCGATAAATCGTCAACAATTTCTTAATTCTCATCCAAAGGATAATTTGGTCAGGCCAAGTTTTCTTTTTGTTGCATTTGCAAGATAAAATCTGCCCACAAGGGGGGGGGGGGGGGGGGGTTCTGATGAACACACATATGCTGACAAAGAATAAGGCCACTAAACTGAGTAAGGCTATAATAGGAAGACAGGTATCAAACAAAGTCCAAATCCAGCTGACTGCAACATTTAACCAGCTTAAAAAAACTATAAATATCAAAACAACCACAAAGTGATTTCTAAAGTATCTGCAGACTTTTATGGAAGTTTCAAAAAAAGAAAAAAAAAACTGTACATTTTCCAGTGGTTCTATTGTCCGTTCATCATGTCCGCTTCTCTTTTATTCATTCACAAAAAACAAACTAAATAACCTTTCTGTTCCATAGTGTGCACTTTATAATTTCACTCCAGACGTGTGAACCTTAAATCAAGGTATGGATATGTGTATCATTACACCCTTAAACCTGAGTTATTTTATCCCCAGTTTGTTTTTGTTTTTATCGCATTCCCTCATCAAGGGTGTAGATTGGGTTTGTGTTTACTAATGCCAGCTGATCAGCTCAGCTCCTCTGCCTTTTTTGATGTCATCGACCCAAACATGCATACATTACAAGTTTTCTTTTGTCACTGTTTAAACATTTTCTGAATTCTTGCACTAGAAATTCAAACTTTGTCACCTTTTCTGCTTAAAGTGATCAGTAATCTTTCCTAAAAACAAATAATGCAGGTTTATTTCCTACCTTGCTGTCCAGCTTCTTCATTGTTACAAGGTCCAGAGATTTGAGTGAATGGCCCGAGGGGGAGATAAAGTACAGACAGGCGTGCACTCGGGAGTCATGGTAGTTGTGCAGAGAGCGTTTGATTTTTAGCTCCTCCTGAAGGTAAGTCTCAAATTGCTTGTCAATGTAGTCCACCACTGGCTGATAGCTACAGGAAATAAAAAGTTAAATCACGTTGTCACTACGTTGTAAAAAAAAAAAAGTTACTTTTACTGTATGACAAAGACCCCCCCACCCCTTCGCTGACAAACCTTTCTTGTTTGTTCATCTGGTCCCCAAAGCCAACAGTGTTGACCACAGTGAGACGAAGTCTGACGTTGCTTTCCTGCAGGTCGTAGGTTTGGGCCCGCAGCTTCACTTGAGGTTCAAAATGGGATGACTCAAAGTTCTCAAAGTTGGTGTTAAATAGGGTGTCCATCAGTGTAGACTTGCCGATACCGGTCTCACCTGAAGGGAGGAAAAAAAACATCTGAATATTTCAGAGATTTCTCTCATGTGCCAACTGGTTTTTTTTTTCTGTTTTCTTTCCTTTTGGAATGAAAACTGAATGCAGCACTTTTGAAATTCAATAACAAACTTCTTAATTCTGATATACATGTTGAATTTTGTATTTATTGGAACAACATTAGATAAAGATAAAATTAATAGTAATATTATGAAGTAGATGTGTGTGATATAGTACCGATGCAGAGAATATTGAAGCAGAAGCCCTGTGTGATGGACTTGTTGACAAGCTGATCTGGAAGACTGTCAAAGCCTACATGGCCAGCGAGGGACAAAGGCCGGGTTCCTTGATCCTGTCGAGGAAATTACACAGGAAAAAGATTAATTTAATTATTTTGAAAATCAGACAATTTTTCAGTTCATGTTTTTCTAACGTCTGTGACAAAATGCCAAAGATAACAGTTTGACATTTTGAAAAGTTGTTTCTATTTTAATATTTCACAATCCATTCATCGTCAAACTAAGAGAAAAGGGAGGGAAATGACAGGTCAAATATGGGATCTGCAAATACTTGGCAAGTATGTTTGGAGGAAATTAAGATATTTCCTGTAAAGTCAAACTCTGTCCTCTCTGACATTTTAGTGAACTAACAGAAAACATACTTTGGGCTGCCAGTAGCAAAACACCAAAACACACTTAGTAAGTAAACACATTAACCTGTCTTTAGTGCATATAACTGATTCATTTTAAAGCTTTGAAGGGCTTTGATTTAACACAATTATCTGATGTTTTTCTTACAGCAAAAAAAAAAAACAGTACCCCCAAAAAAGGCAACGTTCAACTTTTATTGTCAAAACCTTGTTTCATTGCATAGAACCTAAAGCAATTTTTCAAATTACAACAATATCATGTATTTAAGAAAAAAAAAAAAAAAACAGTTAAAAAAATTCTCAAAACAGTTCTTAAGGTTTTAAAGTACAGGTGCTGGTCATAAAATTAGAATATCATGAAAAAGTAGATTGATTTCAGTAATTCCATTTAAAAAGTGAAACTTGTATATTATATTCATACATTACATACAAACTCATATATTTCAGATGTTTATTTTGCTTAATTTTGATGATTACAAATGACAACAAATGAAAATCTCAAATTCATCATATCAGAAAATTAGAATATTACTGAAGACCAATAAAAACAAAGGATTCATAGAAATGTTGGCCAACTGAAAAGTATGAACATGAAAAGTATGAGCATGTACAGCACTCAGTATTTAGTTGGGCCTCCTTTGGCCTGTATTACTGCAGCAATGCGGCGTGGCATGGAGTCGATCAGTCTGTGGCACTGCTCAGGTGTTATGATAGCCCAGGTTGCTCTAATAGTGGCTTTTAGCTCTTCTGAATTGTTGGGTCTGGTGTATTGCATCTTCTTCTTCACAATACCCCATAGATTTTCTATGGGGTTAAGGTCAGGAGAGTTTGCTGGCCAATTAAGAACAGGGATACCATGGTCCTTCAACCAGGTACTGGTAGCTTTGGCACTGTGTGCAGGTGCCAAGTCCTGTTGGAAAATGAAATCTGCATCTCCAAAAAGTTGGTCAGCTGCAGGAAGCATGAAGTGCTCTAAAACTTCCTGGTATGTGGCTGCGTTGACCCTGGACCTCAGAAAACACAATGGACCAACACCAGCAGATGACATGGCACCCCAAACCATCACTGACTGTGGAAACTTTACACTGGACTTCAAGCAACGTGGATGAAGTGCCTCTCTTCTTTTCCTCCAGACTCTGGGACCTTGATTTCCAAAGGAAATGCAAAATTTACTTTCATCAGAGAACATGACTTTGGACCACTCACCAGCAGTCCAGTCCTGTTTCTCTTTAGCCCAGGCAAGACGCTTCTGACGCTGTCTGTGGTTCAAGAGTGGCTTGACACAAGGAATGCGACAGCAGAAACCCATGTCTTTCATACGTCTGTGTGTGGTGGTTCTTGAAGCACTCACTCCAGCTGCAGTCCACTCTTTGTGAATCTCCCCCACATTTTTGAAGGGGTTTTGTTTCACAATCCTCTCCAGGGTGCGGTTATCTCTCTTGCTTGTACACTTTTTTCGACCACATCTTTTCCTTCCCTTCGCCTCTCTATTAATGTGCTTGGACACTGAGCTCTGTGAACAGCCAGCCTCTTTAGCGATGACCTTTTGTGTCTTGCCCTCCTTGTGCAAGGTGTCGATGGTCGTCTTTTGGACAACTGTCAAGTCAGCAGTCTTCCCCATGATTGTGTAGCCTATAGAACTAGACTGAAAGACCATTTAAAGGCTTTTGCAGGTGGTTTGAGTTAATTAGCTGATTAGAGTGTGGCACCAGGGGCCATCAATTTTGAACCTTTTCACAATATTCTAATTTTCTGATATGATGAATTTGAGATTTTCATTTGTTGTCATTTGTAATCATCAAAATTAAACAAAATAAACATCTGAAATATATGAGTTTGTATGTAATGTATGAATATAATATACAAGTTTCACTTTTTAAATGGAATTACTGAAATCAATCTACTTTTTCATGATATTCTAATTTTATGACCAGCACCTGTATATATTGCCAATCACATTAGTCTAAATCTGATACATAAGTGATTAAAATAAGATAAAATTGCACACTACATGTCAGAGCAATATACAACAGTAAATGCTTGTTAAATTAAAAACAGATCTTTTTCACTCCTGCAGGTTCCAGTTTTATGAATCCCATATACAAAGCGCTATTATCTTTTTTCTCCCATTACTGGATCTTTGGTCAAAGAAAATGTTTTGCTGACAGTAACAGAGTTTTAATGCAATAAAGCCATATTAGATTTTGTGATTGGGGTCGATGAATTTCTGAATTCAATTACTTTTTTGGTTAATAATTAATCTCTGAACATGAAATCAACTTTTTAGACAGTGTACATGTTTAGTATTTTATCAACGCCCTGAAATAGTCTAATAGAAGTTGCCACTCTACATTTTATCTTATTCAAATAATGGTGGTTTAATGCAGTGCAAGACCCTCTGCCCTTATCAACTGTCTTTAGCTAAGATGCCTCTAAATGGCTAATTTTATTCTAACCTGTTTCATTTAGACGGTTCTCTTTACTTACAAGATGTAACTAACTTTTAAACAAGTATGGGAATATTAACGTTTCTTAACAACAGTACTTCTATTAAATAAAGCTCAGCTTAAAATTCTAATATCTAAAAATAAGGATTTCCTGACACTTCAGTGTTATGCTAACAAGCTAGCTCTTTGTTTTGTTAAAGGAATATCAACTGCATCTTTATTGTCAAATAAAGATAAGTAAATTGGTCAAAAATAATATGTATAAGTCCGTGTGTAGTTTAGCTGCGTTGTTATGAGCTACTTTAAACTTTTATTATTTCCTGGGACGATTTAATGCTAACGTTAGCTAACTTAATTAGCCACAGGACACTCCCTGTTCGAATGTCAAGAACATTCCTCTTTAAAACACAAAATAAAATAATCCTCACCGGCTGACGAGCAACATCCGAGGAAGCCATGTTTAAAGGACTTCAATACCCTAAAGAAATAAAAGAATATATTAATATAAAAACTGAAAGAAAGAAACTTTCACCCCTCAGATTCTTTCCAGGACTGCCTATGCATCTACCGTCGACAACTAGACAGACGAGACCAATCCAAACAATGGGGGGGATTAAGGAATATTGTGCTTCTTCTAAAGTTGTCTTGAAAATGCGGTTGCCCTTTAATATTTCTAACCAGATGCCGTATGTTATTTAACATATATTAACATTACATGTACCGGAGTATAAGTCCCGAAAACGCGAAATCCCTGTGTCAAACCAAACACAACTCAAACCTGCGCACACCTTTTTGTAAAGTGGTACAGACCGGTTAGTTTTCCCAGGCGCTCCCCATTCCTGTGACATGTTGCAGGTTCAATGAAAAAAATAAGGAGAGTAAGGAAAAGGATTAGGGCCACTAAAAAAACAAAAAAGTTATCTGATTTTTAAATTTTATTTCAGTTCAATATAAGAAAAAAAAGTCAGAATTCCGACTTAATCTCAGAAATCTGACTTTAATCTCAGAAATCTGACTTTAATCTCAGAATTCTGATATTTTTTCTTAGAATTCTGACTTTTTTCTTTTACTAAAATTAAATATAATTTTAAAATCATTTTTTTTTTTTTTTTCAGTGGCCCTAATCCTCTTCCTTAGGAGAGCAAGCGGTGTCCCTCTTCATTGCTGATATTCGATGTCTGATGAATATTAGTACTTCCTTCATAATAGTACATCGGCATTTTTGCAAGCTATGTACCAAGTATAATTTATCTTAACTTATTTTCTTTATGATTTTTTTTTCTGTTTTCTTCATTTGACACTTTGTTTAATGTCATGCCTTAAAAAAATAAAGATGGTTTGATAGTATTAAATATTATTTTATATGATAAGATGATTAACATTCGTATCTTTTATGTTTGTATACTGTCAGGTTTGTCTGCTAATAAATGAATGTCTGTTTTACGAGGGGGTACAAACGCAACATATTCCTTGCATGCTCGAGCGCGCCCTCTATTGACCAAACCTTGATATACATATTTTAGCAAACGAAAGAAGGCAGGGGAAGGGATGCTGTCATCCACTGATTCCATCGAGGAACCCAGTGAGAACATGTGTTTATTTGGGAAATCCGTAATGCCGATTATCCATCCATAACTGCTGTCACCCGGAGGCGTTCATGAGGATGATGGCGTCCCAACGGTGCACGGAGAAAGCCGTGCACGAGTTCCTGTTAGAGAAAGGAGGGAGGGTCCGACAGATGGAGCTGATCGATCATTTCGCATCTCCTTGTAACGAGCAGCAGAAAGAAGGAGCGGGATGGGAGCTGCTGAGAGGTATTGTTGACAGCGTGGGGTTCGTAAAGGTGGAGGACGGGGAGAAATTTGTGTGTTTAAACGGAGACGGCAGCAGGGAGTCGGTGGTGCGTAAGGACGCAAACGGCCACGTTAACGCAGAGTGCAACGGGAACATCCAAGCAGTGCAGGACAGCAAGCAGGTGAATGGAAACCCTGATGATGACGGAGGACAAACAGGTTAGGGGGGATGCGACCATCCACATGATTTCAATGAGTTTTTATTGTTCTGCTCTATTTGAGATATATATACATATATATTTGGTGATTATTTACTGAACTTTGATCATTCACAATAAGTGGCCCAGAATAATGTACAAGTTTTTATGTAGTATATTTTTCCTAAAGTTTATTTATCCTAAAAAGCACATTTTTAATGGCATGACAATTGAGAATGCAGTATATGAAGAAAAGGGAAACCAAAAACTACATCACCGTGGGATACATTTCACTGAATGGATAATTAGAGAGAATAAAAAGGGAATATTAAAAAAGATTATTAAAAAAAATTATATTTAAAATGATTAAAAATAAAATAAATTAAAGTTGGACTAATTTTAATTGGGTTTTAAGTGTGCTAAAGGACCAGAAGGGTAAGGAAATGTTAAATAGAACAGTTAGGCTCATGCAAAATTTCAATTCAATTCAGTTTATTTCTATAGCGCCGGTTTACAACACGTCATCTCCTGGCACTTTACAGTTCACCAGATCATAGAGTCAAATTAATTCAAAGTTTTCTATCTAAGAAAAACCAGTTGATTGTATCGACTCATTGACTCCAATGTAATCCCTCAAGCATTCTTGTAGCGACAGTGGAAAGGAAAAACTCCCTTTTAACCGGAAGAAACCTCCACCAGAACCAGGCTCAGTGTGAGCGGCCATCTGCTGAGGCCGACTGGGGTTCAAGGAGACAGAAGCAGAGATAAAAGGCGGCCCCGTCCAGGAAACACACAGCCAGGCAGACGAGCTCCGAGCCAGCTCCCATGTCAGAGAACGAAGAGAGCACATCCAGCCAGCCACAGTCAGAGAAACAGGACTACACTGGAAAACAGGCTGATCTCCAACATCTATAATTAAAGTGCAAAAAGAAAATTTATTTTCAAAAAGGATTTGAAAATGCAGGTTGGAAAAAGAAATTGGATAGAAGGGTTTTAAATGTGTGATTATGAAACTTATTTCTAGTCAGATTTATGAATTTTGTATTATAAATCTCTAATTAAAGATATGGTTTAAAAATAAAATTTTAAATTACAGTATTTAATAATGGATTCATAAATACCATTTGCAATTCATCTTTACTGATACAATTCTAAATGTGGAATTAGAAAATAATTTTCAAATTGGATTTCAAATTGCATGGTTTAAAATTTGAATTTAAAATTGATGATATTATTTTTCAGTGACTCTTTAGGTCCTTTATACTGGAGATGTTCTTTAGATGGTAGGAGCAGCCATAACAAACAACAACATCTGAATAAAAAGAGGCCTTTCTTTATAATTATGGAGCAATGACATCAGAGTCCATTTTGTTGATAACTTAGAGAACTGGTTGCTGCACAGTATCACATTTCTGTATATTACCCTATGTGGCATAATGAATTTGCAGGGACGAAATTTTGATTTCAGAAGTGGTGGTGGGGGGGTTGTATTTTTTAATATAAATAACTTCAATGTGTTTGACAGCCAATCACACAAGAAAAGCCAATCAGGAGCTTGTGGGCGGTCTTAACTCAGGGAAGCAGGCTTCAGCTTGGGCTGCGGTTTTCAGCTTGGTCCTAGTGCTCGACAAATATCTGTGTGCTGTAGCATAACATTGTTTTTGGAAAGTAAAATGTGCAGGGGACCAAACACACATTTGAAAAAGTGTAAGGGACATGTCCCAAAAATTACGTCCATGCTCCAGGGTTAGTTTTTAATTCAGATCATTAACCCAATGCTTGAATGAGGATGGAGATTTGTCCTTCTATTTCCTAAAGAATAAGTCGCCATCATGGTAGCAAAAACTAACATAATTTTACCCGCTGCGTTTAAACCTAATCTAGGTGCCGCTATTTGAAAAATTATTGAAATTGCAAATGCTTAATGTGAGTTTTTAATACCTTGAACAAGAACATGAAAACATACTTCCAAAATTCAGCCAATTGTAGACAAAACATACGTGATAAAGTCCGGATGCTGTGACAACGAAGATGTAGAATCTTATTTACTGGTAATTGTTTTGTTGTAGTAACATGTTCATTGGTTTAATAACAATGCTTGAAATGTGTGTTGGTTCTACAGGAGCCCGTCCAGACAATGACAAGCAGTCAAATGGTAACAACCAATCTGTGGCCCAGTCCCAGAGTAACGCTGATTCACGAACCCCTACCACTGCTGGGGGAGGGGAGGTGAGGCTGAGGGACAGGAGGAGGAGAGAGTCGGCTCCGACTATCGGGATGCTGGACCTGGATCCGGCCCATCCTGGTGGCTCCCACAGCCATGCGGTGAGAGGAGCACGCAGAGTGTCCAAAGGATCCCAGCGGGCCGCGCTGATTAGCTGCCTGTCTGAAGACAGCGCGCTGGAGGGGCTGGAGTCTGTGGGGGAAATACAAACACCGAAAGGAAGCCGCAGGAACTTCATAGAGCTGATGATGAGCAGTTCTCCTCAGGTGAGATCTTGTCACAGTCAGAATTGTGTAGTGTCTCTTTGAGACACTCTGGTATTGCTATGTGCCACTGCTACTCTGTAGAGAGAGCAGGAAACGTGATGCAGAGAGATACATGTACTCAGACGGACATGTTTATTTCCTATTTTCCTATTTGCTTTGTAAGGTTGGTAAAGAGTGTGTTTATTAAAAGACAGCACTGTGGAATTCCCAGTACCAGTGTGGTTGTGAGTTTTTGACCGTCCTCTCCTTACTTAAACGCAACCCTAAACATTACAATCTCCACAAATGTCTCCATTAGTTATTGTCATGGAAGTATTTTTGATTTCAGATGAATATAAATAACTTCGGCATGTTTGACCGTCCAATCACAGACCCGATTCAGTGGCGCATCAGATTTTTGTAAAGTGAGTTTATCAGGAGTGACAGTGGTGACAGCCATTCACACAAGAAAAGACAGTGGACCAATCAGGAGCTTTTGGGCGGTCTAAACTCAGGGAAGCAGGCTTCAGCTTGAGCTGCAGTTTTCTGCTTGGTCCTAGTGCTCGACGAATGTCTGCGTACTGTAAAGTAACTGTTTTTGGACAGTCAAACGTGCAGGGGACCAAAACGCAAATTTGAAAAAGTGCAGGGGATCCCCCCTAAAAATGACCTCCATGGTTATTATCCAATGTATTAGCTTGAGTAGAGAACAAAAACGCATCTAAGTTGAATTTCTTTGTACGCAGGTTCGCAGGTCTCTAATCAACCGCGGGTCACGCAAACGAGACTCTGTGAGGAGCGACGGCGACTCCTCATCCGTCCTCTCTTCAGCCACGGACGACGAAAGCTCCTCCGTAACTCTAGACCCTCTGGAGCACGAGTGGATGCTCTGCTCCTCAGAGGGGCTGTGGGAGAGCCTGCAGGCCCTGCTGGCTGTGGAACCGAGCCTGGTAGCTAAACGAGACTTTGTGACCGGCTTCACCTGCCTCCACTGGGCCGCCAAGCAGGGCAAGGCTGAGCTGCTCGCCCAGCTGCTGGCCTTTGCCAGAGAGAACACGATCCCCGTCAATGTGAACGCCAGATCGAGCGCTGGGTACACGCCCCTACACCTGGCCGCCATGCATGGACACAC